TTACCTGGTTAAGCACCTCGGCAATGCAATTGCAGGGGCCGCCTCGCAATGCCCAATTCGGGGGCGACCAACCAGGTTTAACTGGTTGGTGTGTGGTGAGTGAGTGAGTGAGTGAGTGAGTGAGTGACTGAGTCGAGTCACGTCCGTCGAGACGACGCTGAGAGCGGAGGAGCCGACGTCCGACTATTGTCTGTCAACCCTAGAGAAGACGTCTGGGTAAGAGTGTCGCAAATAGTTGGAAAAAGATTGAGTTATAGTTCCGGTGTGAAATAACAAAAATGAAGCCGACACGAAACACACACGAGTCCCACTCAACCGACCACATGAGCGATTTGTTCCTTTGGTGTGGAGCGTGCCTCGAGTCGCGTAAGTGTTGCAGGCGCTGGTTAGTCTCGTGTGACACGGAGAGTCTCTCCACCCCCGAGCTCGATGACTCGAGGTTGCTCGGCAATTTCCGTCTCTCACTTTAAGTCACTTTATGTGCATCAAATGTCTCTACGACCTACTCTTTGTTTCACTAAAAACCTTTAACCGTCGTATAATTTAGATAGATCATTGCAGTGTACCTTAACACTAGTCACCTTTACCGGTACGGTGACCCTGGCACATTTTGCACTAATTGGAGCCTCCATACTTCGACAGAGGAACGAGAAGTAGTATAAAGAGCGAGTCTCTATGACCGGACGGGTACGTAGTATTTAGAACTATCAAGAAAGAAGAAGGTGTGTCCTTGACAAGAAGACAGACTAGTTCAGGATGAGCCCTGCGGGCGTCCGGCATCGCTCCTGCCAGACAAGCACAAACCTGTAGGTCGACGGGTGTAGATTGGGAGCCACGCGGAGACAGGCGATGACAGCGCACCGTCGCCGGCCGGAAGTGGTTGGAGTGCTGTGGCCGTTCCCACACGCAATCGGACGACCCCCCTTGGCACTAGCTTTCCACTCACGACCGAGACGCCGGTGCATATTACTGTAGATAGCAAGAAGAATAGTGAACTTATCTCTCTTTGGACCGTCCAAATGTCCAGACACCATGCGTGTAATTCGTTGCGTGATTTAGAGAAAGATGGTCTGAACTAATCTTTACGTATCCGACGTAACCTTCGAAACACAGCTTACCTCAATATCAATGATGTTTACATCGCGTCCAACAACAATTACTACCCCGGTTATTAGCTGATCAATGCCTCCGTGTCTTGTGTCTAAAGCGTCCTCCGAAAATTTACTCTTTTTCATAGTGAGTACGAATAAAGTCGATTTTACGTTCGTAACTTCACTATATAAATATCGTAAACTTATCTTTCAACACATTACCCTTACTCACTAATAGTTTACAAACACTCACTACGGTCGCTCCCCCCGTGACTCTACTACCTCTCGGGCCGGCGGCTCGCTTCGAGGCTCAGCCGACCGTCCACGGAGTACGGACGATATGGGGTATGGTTAGTTTTGTTTTGTCCGTTTGGCGTCATTCCTTGTTCTGTCTGTTTTTTCTCGTCCTGTCTGTCTGTCTGTCTGTCTGTCTCGTCCTGTCCCTGTCTGACGGGCGCCTCCGTCCTCGGTCGCTGTGGCGCTGGTCCCTACCGCCGTCTGGCTGGGAAAGTCATGTACGGAACGTATTGCCGGGACTTCCCCGGACTTTTTCCGACCCAAGCCTCTCTACACGCCGATTGAAAACCAAACAGTTTGGTTTAGACATAGATCCCTAAGTTGTACTGACCCACAACTATACTTATTGAAATAATTGGTGGTCATCGTTCATTTCTCAATTTGAAGATGGCAGCAGACCAAACAGGAAAAACATGGGTCTACCCGTGAAATCAACCAAAAGGGAATGTCGGTACGATTACACTGTGGACTATCCGATCCAAGGGTCGTCGATTAAACGTAGTCATTAGCGTGACCCGCACGACTTCACGGTATATATTATATCTTATATAAAAATGCTTAATTTTTACAAAAACAGACTTAAAGAACTATCCATTCCAAACGAGCGCCATTAAAACACGTTTGGGTTACGAAAGAAGGGGTAAGCTACGCTAATTTAATCCATGTTATTCACTAAATACGTTAATACCTAATCGTAATCCCATGAGAGAAAACATTGATGCTAGTCGACTTACACATAAAGGAATTCACTTTTGCCGGAAGTGGTGTGTCCTTTTAGGAGTGACTTGGAGGAACACGCGTACCGCATGACGTTAAGCCATACCCGGAAGAAACATTGGACAATGACGTATCAGTGACAAATCTCTAACGAGGCGTTTTGGGAAGTTATTTTCTGTGTTAGAGTTTTACTCGCTACTAGGGATGCCAGAAACTGACCATGATCAAAATCGAACATCGGACAACCCTGGCGAATAATAATCGATTATTCGACGCCCGCGCGGAGACTGTAACGAATATTCGAATAATCACTGGCATCCCTACTTTCTACAGGGTGTACTTTGAGGGTTTTTGACTCTGCAGATCGTTTACATGCATAAAAACCTTCATAACACACAAGGGGACGGGTAATAACTGGAAAAGCATGACATGGGACCTTTAAATTAAACCAATACTCTTTTATACATAAACCCCTTCTGCTATGCAAACACAGAGGGTCCTACTACGTTTCTTTGGTCCTACATTCTGGTGTTGTTGTTTTTAAGTCCTCTCAAAAGGTGCATAACTTATAATATATGATTTTACTAATGTTGTGGAATAATCTTCAGGATTCATTTCTAAGCGTGTGGTCACAGCTGTATCTGTAGAGAATTCTGCATCAGAAATGTTAGTTTGTGAACACAAGTATGCATTTTGGCTCTGCTTTTAAACTCAAAGCAGTTTGTAAATGTGAGTATCTGCATCGTCGTAGATTTTAAATATTCAATGCAGAGATTGTTCTCAAAGCATGATATACACTCACAGGCTATGAAAGTATTTCTGGACATCATTTTACAAGCTTAACATCTTTTTGTAACATCGTTTGTAATATTTGCAACTATAAACTGAATAGTGGCCAGACAAATGTAGTAACTGTTATTGCTGCTTTGAACCTACCATGCGATCTTCAAATGTTTTGACCATGATGCCGTCCGGCAGGGACGTTGCGAGCAGAGCCATTTCCTTCCTCACTGTGCTGAAGAACTTCTTTGCCTCTGCTGGCTGAAACTCCATTTTATAAAACGATTGTGTGTCTGATAAGATGAACAGAGAGAGAACAGACATACAAGGATTAAATATAAACACAGAAAGAAATAGAAACTAAGGAATACAACTTTTGTGTTCAGGGAAGCTAAAGGATGTGTGTGTGTGTGTGTTGGTCTCAGTTTGACAAAACCCTCTCTACATGTCTCACCTGGGGCCCACTCCAGCACAGAGAACACCTCCCCCCTGGCGCTGGTGAAGGTGACGCCGGGCTTCCCTCCGCTCTGCTGGCACAGTACCGGGGTGTCACTGAGAAATTCGCTGGGCCACTCCCCTCCTCCCACCGGGGTCTGAGGGTCCTGCTGAGGCTTCTCCTCTCCCGCTCGCTCTACCTGAACAGACACACATCGGCACGAGAGACACACTAATGAGTTTTGATCCTTACACATTCATATGGACTGCACTGGCAGTGTTGTAGATGTATTGAGCTAACCTCTGTCGCTGCTCCAGCGCCCCCTGCCTCCACCACAGCCTCCATCTTCTCCTCCTCCACGATGGCGACGTTGTCCAGCGTCTTCCTCAGGTTCTCCTGCAGCTTCTTGATGTCGTCCAGGAAACGTTTCTCCTTGGTCGGCTTCTCTGGTACGGTGGGCGTCACTGAGCTTGCTACGCTGGTGGTGGAGGCGGGTTCAGCGGAGGTCGGGGAGGTGGGAGACCCTCCGGTCCAGAGCTGCTCCACAGTCATGTTCTTCAGGCTCTCCAGGATCTTCAGCGCCTCCTTCAGCTCCCTGAAGCCCCGAGAGGAACCCTCTTTACCGGGCTTCTCTGCTCCGTTCACAGCTCCTGGAGTGGTTCCTAGGCAGGGAGAAATAACACGTTTATTACATTCTGAGCATAATTAGAGTTGGGAACAAATGGTTGTAGAATGGTTATACGTCGAAGCATCACATTTAGCTTGATTCCCAATTTCGTTTCAATCCCAATTTCATTTCTGGTAATCAAGTTATTTGTTGTTTTAGATTCAAGACAACAATGGGTGTCCATGGCAAAGAGGAAGAGGCTTTATCAGGTCAGGATAGACAGGCAGGTTGGTAGGATCAACTTAATGGCTTTGATTTGGGGGGGGTTTTATGATAAAAAAATAAAATAAACCTAGAAACATTTAATCGTCAAATTAAGTTTCCCTCAAAACCTAATTGACATTGCAGTTTGCGTTGCATGGGAACCATATTTTTTGAAAACCAGATGGGTTTGCCTACTGTAGGTTGATGATTAGTTTTTATTTATTTTATTCATTTATTTAACAGGGACATTAATTAACATTTCTGTAAATGTGCCAGAGTTAGCCAAGAGGCTATTTTTCATCTGTAGTCCCAGAACAGATTTTAAAAGTCAACCTAAAACACATTTCATTTTAAACAAGTACATACAATACATTTAAAACATGGAACACACACTACTGGAATACTTAAATATATTATTGTGTTCTGACATGGAATCTGCAATGTCTAGGTGTTCATTTCCTTAGATTTTGAAATGTAGCAATATCCATTTATCATTTTACTGTAAAAATGTATTCTTTGTGGTTTGCAATTAAATGCTAATCAATCGTTTTGTATAAAAAAGAAATCCTTTGTGTGCCTAAAGATATACATTTCACTTTTTTTTCAGCCGAATGCCGACAAGATTCAAGGAGGATAATTAAAGGTTTGCACTGTGGAGTCAACAGTATTCCCTTAAAGGCCCCATGTCATGGCCATTTCTACTGATCATAACTCCATTGTTGAGGTCTAGAATAGATGTATATTGTGCAATGTTCCAAACTCACATTGGTTTCTCATAAAGCATCTCTGTAAAGTATGTGTATTCACTCTGTGTCCTAAACGGCTTGATGGAGCTCCTGACATAGGACCTTTAACACGAACAATATTATAAATATTTTTTTTAAATAGTCCGCCCACCTCCAGCAGAAGCAGGGCTCGCAGCAGCTACAGACGCCTCCCCCTCCTCTCCAGTGGCCCCTTTAGAGGGGCTGGTGACCCCAGCTTTGCCTCCCTCTAGAGGGGGGATGATGAACATTGAGGATCCGGTGGGGGTGGGGGTGGGGGTCACTGTGTCGGTGGCGTCTGTGTTGTGGATGTGGCTGTCGTCCTCCGTGGTGAGGCCGTTGTCCGTCTCCCAGCTGTCGCTCTCGTCCTCCCACTCCTCAGTGGACAGCACGCTGCTCGTCTCCTCCACCGAGTCGTAATCCGTCTCCTCGATCTCAGACTCCACGTTGTAGAGGTGCTGAGTGTGTGTGATTGTTAGGAGACATTTGTTAGCAACATTTCTAGAATAAAACATTATATTTGACTAAAGATAAACATTAACCTGTGGCAGGACGATGGTCATGGAGTTATCCGCCCACACCACCTCCACCTTGCTGCTCACATCCACCCGGGACACCTGGCCCACCGACGTCTGAGAGGAGGGTTATAAAGAGAAACGAGCATTATCAGCAAACCCCAACACGTTAGACACATGAAAACAAGGCTACTGGATATCTTATTGTGTGTTGTACAGATTGTAAAGCCCTTAAAAAAATGTAGATTGCTTTTATCTTTCATAGACACTCTGGATATTATGCCTAACAGATCAGATGACTGAGTCCTTTTTATTCTTATTGTAAGAATACTTTTGCTTACAGTTTTCTCTTATTATTATTTGTTTAGAATTTTGTTTTTTTTGTATGCCTAATTGTGTTTCTTACCTGAGGTCGAGGCGGGATGGGGATGTTTAAAATAGGAAACTGAAAGTGAGCATTATCTTTCTGTTCCATTCTTATTCTGTAATTGTATATTTTGTACTTTTAATGCTCAATAAAATATATATATATATATATAAAAAAAAAAAAAAAGGTAGATTGCAGTGTTTATAACTCCATAATAATAATATTAATAATACTACTACAATGGAAATGTTTGATTCCTTTTGACGTAACATATGGTTACATGTCCAGCCCTTTTCTCACCTCATTCTCACAGTCGTTGTTTCCGTTCTCCGAGTTCCATATTCTGATGACGATGTCTGTGGTGCGGAAATGGAAATCTGGATGATCTGTGATGTCGTACACACTGACATCCTCCTCCATACCAAAAACCTGGAAGAAAAACAAAAATGTTCTGCATTATTTGATTTATACGACAGTCAAGTTGAATTGACACGTATAGCAACACAAGAAGATCTAATGACGGTACACAAAGGAGTGTAGTGAGGTTGCTGTGGTTAAAACATACAGCTTTTCATACCTGCATAAAAACACCTCACCCCTAAATGATCATTTGATCATTTGTTTATCAATGCCTTCGCTGCGTTTGTTTCGGCCTGGATTCTTTGTTAATTCCCAAAATGGAGAACATTCTTGTTGAATTGAAAATAAATGGGGGTCGCATTTCACAACAGCAAAGCAATGTGGTAGAGTTTGTTAACTGATGTTTTTATAATGTTTTGCTACTTTTAGAACTAAATATAGTTGTAACTATATCAATTCATTGGGATTGTTCTTCCAGGGTGATTCATTGATGTATAATTGGTCATTCTTAGTCATTCTTAAAAGGCCCCCTTTCCTTCCTCTATAACACTGTCAATCTCTCTGTTGTCTTGTTTCCCTGACTGACCTCCACGTCGTCGCTGCTGGAGTTGAGTTTGATCCACTTGACGACACATGTTCTGCCTTTGTGATCACCGGACTGGATCACACCGTACACCCCCGGGTCCTGGAGGGCTTGGGCTGAGAGCGCACACACACACACACACATCGATTAGAGATACAACAAAAGGCCTTAAAAAAGGTAAAGATTTACAACAGAGATTTTTTTATGAAAGGAAATGACCACTTCAGATAACAGCCTTATCATAAACTAGATATATATATTTTAGTCCATTTCAAACACACATTGTCTTGGCATAGTTGAAATGACCTAGATGCTTTAGGTACTAGGTGACCTATATAATAAATCTCATGGCGGTCCAAAGGGACAGAATTCTGACACACAGTGTGTCTTCCCTGGTCTGAATGAGGAAAATAGAACAAAGTAAAAACAACCAAATTCTCCATTAAGCTGATTTTCCTTACGTCTTTTGTCGACTACGAAGTCCCCGGGACAAAACTCGTGGCTGTCGAGGTGCTGGATGGGGATGAGCTCGTTTGATCTGATCCTTTTCTCCAATCGCCCGTCCTTCCACATCACATCAGACGTGGTCTTGGTTGATACAACTTCCACTGCAACCCTGTTCACACACACAAAGGGAACAGTGTTATATAATATTAGAAGTCTACTTGTTTTGCTAATGTCATTTTTTACATTACCTACCTATCCATAAATGTTATGCTTAATAAACAAATAATCATTTAACCGAATCTCTTCCAATTGTCCGTTACATTTAAATCTTCCAAGACAAGTGGACCGGAACCAATTCTTTCTAACGGAAGCTCTGAGAGTTAGAGGGTTTGAATGGATGAAACCATTAGTAAATTAATTTAGAAAGGCATCAACGATACAGCGGAGAAGGAAAAAAGACACAAATGCTGTCTGTACGGCTGCTAACCCACCGGTCACCAGGCTTGAACTCGCGGGAGAACTTGGTCCTCTTCTTCTTGTGCTTCCTCTTCAGGTTCCGGATGGAGAGAGGGACGCTCTTCTTGCGGTTTGCTCCCAGACCGCCGCTCTGAGAGGAGGCTGTGGAGCTGGCCGATGACGTTAGAGAGCTGCAACCAGGATTACAGTCACAGGTTAATGTATCATTTCATTATACCAACAGCACACACACAGAAAGGATAGTTTGAGTTTAAGATGGTCCTCTTAAGTCAGACAAAGACCCTTCAAAGTCCAAACCGATAGATATTCAGTCTAAAATCATGGAATAACCTCTGAACACCTGCAAACATTTAGCAGAGAGAAGCTTGAACCAGAGAATTCTAGGCTGTTTTACTGAAAAACTTCAAACATTAAGCAATAATCAAAATTGTGATGCAAATTATTTTCTTTTAATCAACTATAAGCCCCGTTGTTAATAAAAGGCCACTCTGAAACGTGCAGTTTTGCTTTATTGGGGGGGTCTGGGGGGGTCCGAAAACCCTAGGGTTAAACCCTAACGTAACCCTAACCCTAACATGTCACCCATCTCCTTCGCATAGAGTTGATCAGGTTGTTGATTGTGGCCTGTGGAATGTTGGTCCACTGCTGTTCAATGGCTGCGAAGTTGCTGGATATTGGCAGGAACTGGAACACGCTGTCGTATACGCCGATCCAGAGCATCCCAAACATGCTCAATGGGTGACATGTTAGGGTTAGGGTTAGGGTTTTAACCCCTAGGGGTTTTTCGGACCCC